GACGTTAAAGTATAAACAGATTAGGCCATTGGGAAGGAAAAGGTATTTTTCAAAGCACATATTTCATGTTTGTCCTCAGCGCCTCCTCTCTACGAATGATGTGACAATGAGCAAAAAACAGTTCCTCCACACTTATTTTATTTTGAGTTGAATTGTGGTGGTCAGGTTTTTCCAGAAATGTAACTGTGGTCCTAACCAATGTAAATCGATACGTTGTAAATGTTTTAAAGTGCTACTGAAGTGTAATAGCTTGTATGATAACAGTCTATCTTGTCCAAACAAATGAATTTTATCAGCATATACTCTGTACTCGCATCATATATTTGGTGTTCTCTTCATCAATAAAGACTGCCAGGGGGTTCATGAAATCCCTAAGCCAATATTTCAGTAATTTCATGAAATCCCTGGAAATTTTAGGGAATACATGAAATCCCTTGGGGTAACAGGGATTTCATGAAATCACTCTTTTAGAGATTACGTGAAATCCCTGGTTTCACACATTCCCTGTAACATATACATCCCCTTCTCTTCATGTTCCATTCCTGCTTGACAATGGTATCAAAATGTTGCACTCACGAAGTAAAGAAGTTGTTATCCATAAATTTGTTCAATATTGAGGATCTTCAGATGAATAATCATCCTGAGGTCCTGCTGAATCCTTCTTGGTGACCAGGAATACCAGAGAGAAAAACCTTGCTTGGGGTTGAAAGGATGCAACTCAATGACAGTTTTCTTGTCCAAGAGCTTGTCTAGGGATGGCTGTCATTTCCCCTGACAACTTGGGTTCCTGGAGCTCATACAATGTCCTACTGTCAATATAGGCCTGGGGTGTCCATCCCGCTAGGCCTGAAACCGTATCCCTGTAGAGACTGGCCTTTGTCTTGCTGTCTAGATAGCCATGGATCACCTGAATAGTATTCCTGCAATCTCCATCTTAATAGCTGAAGGATCATCAGCAGTAAAGGCACATTAGTCAAGAGCAGCGTTATCAGACTTCCTGAGATAAACCAACAGTTTGCTCCCTGAATACTGTTTATAAGCAGATCTCTTTCATCAATAATTCTCCGTTCCTTGATGGATATTTTCAATGCAAATCCTTGAAATCCTTTACCAAGTGAAGGTTATTTGACTGGTAAATCTCTGTTATCATTCAATCCTTGATGATCTTATTCTTCTTAGACTTGAATTATGACTGCAGGAGCAGGAGATCAGGTAAAGTTGATTCCGGAAATAGGACATCAAGTGCAGAGAATTTGCCAGCAAATCACAGTAAAATGTCTCTAATCAACAAAGGATGACTGTGTGTCTGTCAATTGCCACTATTCTTTTGTAGCCTGGCACAAATGGAGTATTCCACCAGATGACAATCTCACCTAGTGTGCATGCAGACAGAGCTGAACCTCTGTGGCCATGTGAATAAGGTGCCGATGATTTAAACTGGGTAATTTTATGGTCATTATGATTCAAATGTCTCTGTCATGGGCACAGTCATGTGAAGACAGATGGAATGACCAGTCACAGAAGTTGTGCTACATGGGAGAAATTCACTTGTGCCAGAATGAGTTCTATCTGAGTAATGCAACTGCTCCAAACCATCAACATTATGCTGTGATGAATTTATTTATGCAATGTGCTTGTTTCACAACTTAACATATTCCTGATTCTCATCTATAAATATAAAACTAGTATTCCATGATGAATATGCCATGGAGGCAATTTTACTGTTAATGTAAGGAATAATGGTTTTATAAATGATAAGCACCACCCAAAGTATAAGCATTAGTCTTTCTGAAAATATCTCTGTGTTTTAATGTTATCTACATGCCAAAGAATCGTCTCCCTCTGGCAGTAAATATGTTGACAATTCACTGTATTAATAAACTGTGTAATGTTAGCACACTTTCAAAGATGCCTTTACAACAGTAGCACAGACTGGCAGTCGCTAAACGAACACAGCTGTGACTGACAGTTAGTGCATTGGAGAAAATTATAGTTTCTTTTGCAGGTTCCAAAGTCCTGTTATCAATTATCAAGAAGTGGTGTATAAATATGACACATCACTGTACTCCATATAATCAACAGTTTAAAATACAGTCAATACAGACACTTAACAAGAGTTGTTGTCACCATTATCTATTCAATTGTTTTTATCTATTCAAATAAATGTTTGGGACGACTAAAGTATTACAAACTTGAAACAATCAACTAAATTTGCAGGGATGAATATGATATTTAGTAAATAGATGCAAAACCCATCTGTTAAACTTGTTACACTAAGTTTTCAATTATGTGTCCTTTTAATGCAACACATTCTTTCCAAATATTTCACCAAAGAAAGCACAGAACTGAGTAAATGAAGTTAATAATAATGATGTCAGGATGTCACATGATGTCAATAATAATTGTAAGGAGAAAGTTAGTTAAAGTTACTCATTTCTTGAAGTTTTAAAGACAGAATCAGACACCATTGCAATACACATTTAGTAAAAATGGCTAAGTAGTGACTATTTATATGGTTTTTAATACATCTCCTGTGATGTCCATATTAGAAATCATATTTAGGTGTCATCATGAATTGTGACAAGAATGTGAAGTTGCAGTTTCAATGGTCTAATTGTTTCTGAGTAGGTAATGTTTTTGTTAGAATTACGAAATTAAAATATACATGAAAAACAAACTCATAAAGAAATATATGTACACCAACTTTCATTACAATTTGGATCAAACAGAGTAATAGATTTATAAAATTTCTGCTTTCAGTATGGCCAAAGTACAAAGGTCAAATGAAGGTAATAGTTTACTTTTATCACTAAAAGTACACAATTAGCAAACTTTACTTTCAACATTTTTTCTCCATTTCTTCAATTCAAGGCGATGAACATGCGGGAAAACTTGCTCCTTGTGAGGTAGAAAGGTGGAAGAGATGATCCCAATAACTATCGTGAAATATCCTTACTAAACGTTATTGGAAAAATATTCACTATTATTATTGAACGATGATTAAGATCTTGGGTGGAACTAAACGAACTTCTTGCAGAATCTCAATCTGGCTTTCGTGAAAAGTATTCGACTATTGACAATATATTTACTCTTCAAGCACGCTGTAACAAATACTTATCCAGATCGAAGGGTCATTTCTACTGCACCTTTATAGGCTTCAAAAAAGCCTTGGATTTTGTTCCAAGAAAAAAACTTGTGTACCTGTTATTGCTAAAAGGGTGCCATGGGAAAGTATACAATATCCTCAATAATATGTATGACTCTGTGAAATCATGTGTAAAAATTAATAATGAAAAGATGCCACTATTTACAACAAACACAGGCGTTCGACAGGGATGTATTCTGAGTCCCTTGTTATTTATCTTCTTCATCAATGAACTTGTGAGTGAAATGTATTCTGTGTGTAAGCATGGTATTTTCGTCTCATCAGCTATTGAGGATCTGTTACTTCTTTTGTTTGCAGACAATGTTGTGACGTTTTCATATACTGTAATATATTTACAATGACAGCTTGATTGTGTATCAACCTTTTCTAAGAAATGGGGACTTGAAGTGAATTTGCAAAAAACAAACATAATTATGTTTAGAAATGGTGGCATAATCTCGAAAAATGAATCATGGATGATTTGCAGCAAATAAAGCGATTCTGGGAGAAACTGGACGATACCCATATACATATGTACACAAGTAAAAGCTGTCAAATACAGGATCCGACTACTAAGAATGAACGAATGCAGATATCCTCACCAATCCTATTTAATGCTGAAAAACTTAGATGATAAAGTAAAAGTAAATCGGACATCAGAAATAAGGAGTCTGCTATTTTCTTGTGGACTCTCACATGTATGGTTTTCCCAGGATGTCAGAAATGAAAATATTTTTATTTATTAAGTGAAGCAACGTTTAACTGATATATATGCTCAAACATGGCATGATGAAATTTCAAACACAACATATCTAGCTCATTTCCAGACTTAGGATATGTCCCCTCTACAGCCAGAATTCTGTATACCAGTAAAACATGTTGAAGATAAAAACCTCCAACGAGTACTATGGAAATTTAGAATATCTCTACACGATTTTAAAGTAAATATTGCAAGGAAGAGTAAAAATATTGACAATGTTAATATTATTTGTACAAATTGTAATGATTCCAGCATCGAGGATGAATTTCATGTCTTGTTCGCTTGTTCAAAGTATTCCGGTTTACAAAAGAAGTTGCCATGTCCATATCAAATTAAGAATATGTATACAATGACAAATGTGTTAAACTAAAAAAATGTAAATACCCCTAAATCAGTTGCAATATTCCTGAAACATGTTTTTCGTTTAAGATCCATCACGTGATTACATATACAGATAACTGTACATATGGCCATACTACTGAATAAACGATTGATTGATTGAAATCCGAAACCATTCACAGTGTCATGAAAGTTTTGATTATGGTACATTGTGTAGTATAATAAAACATGTGGTAATATCTTTCAGGGACAAAGGCCCTTTGAGCTTGTACACATCTCTATAGCATCTAGAGGGTTAAGACAATAAACTGTCCATGAATTTATTGTGTCACTGACATTATTTTATCATCATTTCTCAAACAAATTGTGAACTCTATGACATTCAATCAACAATCAATGTCCATGCAGCATGTTCAATGTCAAACAGTAATGAGGTAGAGGGAGGGCATAATAATAGGGAAGACTTTTAGTCACCACAATAGCCAAGATGGAAGGGTTAATACAGCTTTCAATGATCGGACAATAACTTACAGGCACAACCAATGGGCCCAGACTATGTGTGCTTGGTCTGCGGGGTCTATCATACTTGTCACGATCTTCTCCAAAACAGAAAACTCCTAGACTATGAGTACTTGGTCGTCGAGGGCGCTCCCCCCCTTCACCAAACATACTGATGGGTAATATACCCACACTATGAGTGCTTGGTCGACGTGGCCTCTCAGATCCACGGTAATGATATTCCCCAAATCCACTTACGGAGAATGGTCCAAGACTATGTGTACTTGGTCTGCGAGGTCGATCAGGACTATTGTCATCTGAAGTGATACTTATTGACGGGTGCCCTGTCCCAGGAGGAACCAAACTATGCCGGCGCTGGATGTCAAGAGGCTTGTCTAAAGTGCATGACGTCTTTTCATCCTGAAAAAATAAAATATTTGTATTTCATGCCAAACAGAAGCATCTCCACAATTATCTGATTGCCCCACAAACATGCCCCATGAACAATTTTTACTTTACAAAGTCATGTGACAGCTCACCATACCAACATCTACCTATATTCATCTTTGTTTCATAATGTTGTCTAATGCGGTACAATTTAGTAGTATCCCTCTAGCTTATAATGCATTGTTTAGCTCCATTTTCATGACATCCCTTTTGGTTCGACAAAACACATGACCAATGCATCACAACTTTGAAACAAGGCTACAGGCATCGTACCTTATAACAAAGTTATTATCTCAGGTTTCAGGCATCGTACCTTATAACAAAGTTATTATCTCAGGTTTCAGGCATCGTACCTTATAACAAAGTTATTATCTCAGGTTTCAGGCATCGTACCTTATAACAAAGTTATTATCTCAGGTTTCAGGCATCGTACCTTATAACAAAGTTATTATCTCAGGTTTCAGGCATCGTACCTTATAACAAAGTTATTATCTCAGGTTTCAGGCATCGTACCTTATAACAAAGTTATTATCTCAGGTTTCAGGCATCGTACCTTATAACAAAGTTATTATCTCAGGTTTCAGGCATCGTACCTTATAACAAAGTTATTATCTCAGGTTTCAGGCATCGTACCTTATAACAGAGTTATTATTCAGATTCATAACAACCTTGATTCAGAAAATTGTGATCTTGGCAAATGAAACCCGAACAGAACACGGACATACCACAGATGGTACACCTGAACAGGTGTAACTGCATATAGAAAGAACAGAACATATATCTTTACTTAAAGAATATCCAAACCAATATAATTGAACAGCTTTTTTGTTTTGCACTCTCTGATTATAATCAGTGTTTAGATACACAGATAAATCATATATGTCTGAATGCTTTTCATTCTTGTAATGAACACTTATAAGACCATAAAATCAATTGGAATGCAACTGCCAATATTATTGAGTTATAATACATGTTAGATTCTATGATTTTGAGAATGAATTAATATCTACTTTTAGTCACAAGTTTATAAAAACCATTCCAAAGGGATACCTACCTATATCAACAGACAAGACGTCTTAGTGTACAGGACAAACACTAGGCTAACCTTCACTGTGACATAGACCATACACTTATGCAAATCATGACTTTTACAATCTTGATCCTGTCCAAAATATGACATGCATAAATTTCATTGACCATTGAAAATTCTTCTTGATTTGGGCAGTAAATGATATTTTTCATCACATGCCAATATATCACATATTCTCAAATAATATAAATGAAAGATTTTTTAAAATGTCTTCCTTTCAGACTTTTACATCATTGACATACTAGATAGGGTTGTTGTAGCACATTTCGATGACCCTTCTCTGAACCCATGGACTAGGCTACATCCTGCACATGCTATTGGTGATTTCTCATGTCAAGAGTTAGTAGTAACTATACCTTGGCATGAGAGGAGTTCAGATCTCAATCCTATAGAGCATGTTTTGGGACATAATTGGTCACAGAACAAGTCAGAGAGGATATCCAGAACAAAGTTTTGATGTACTGGAACAAGGCGGCCCCCAATCAACAATGTCACATTCAACGTGTGATAATCTACGAGGAGGGTGAGGGATGCTATTGCAGATGGCGGATATTGACATTGTGCATGGTTATTGATACATGTTTTCTTGAGGACAGTATGCCAGAATCTTGAAAATGTCCACACTTGTTAACCTTATACAAATCATCACTACACAATTATTCAATTTCTTGCTATGTTTGCTTCGATTAATAAAATACAGTTTTCCTTTGTTTTTACATTTAAGTTTGTCATTCAATCATTCCTTGAGGTTTGCTTTATCCAGAAGTTGAATTGCGGTTCGGATAAGGTCCTTTGCTATGTTTATTTGTAATGGTAACATTCTCATACTAGAAAAAATATTGGGTTTTGTCATACTGTGTTCCATGTGTATATAAACTAAAGTACTGTCGGAAATGCTAGAAAAATGCTTTTTAGCCTTAATATCTTTATAAAGGTGATAAATGAACTATGTTGTCAATATATCAACTCGCCTATTGTCTACCTAATTTTTATTTCAATCGATTTAACCTTCCTATGCATTTAAAGGGCAGTTTACAGGAGAGAATTTGGTACCAAAACAGCAACTTAAGATTTTTTTCAGAGTTCAACAACAGAAATCTGAAATAGTCTTTACATTTATGCTGATCATACAGGTGGTGTAAAAATATGAATTAACGTTTTTCCTAAACAAATAACTGTTGAATGTTTGTGTTACTCTACTTAATTATCGTTTCTTTATTGAAGAAATATTAATATAAATGTTAAGTCTTGATAAATAAGTTTCCCGTCATGCATGCACATCTTTATCACAGCGTGCACTATGGCCAACGATTCGCAGTCGATTGTTGCAAAGGTTTATAGTTTTTTCTGCTTAAAAAAAAAGACAGAGGTAAACCTTTCATTAGTTTGGAAAGGGTTTATTACAGATCTTATAGAGCTGTTGGCATGTCTTACCAACAAGTTTACAATATTGTAAACAAATCAGACAAGACAGGGACCGTCTCAAATGCAAAACTGGGACGTGAAACCATCCTTGACAACTTTGACAAGGGAGTGCTTAGACGGGCGGTCTACAAACTTTATGAGAAGAAAAATATATATATTCTAAAGAAGCTACACCAGTGACTTCGTTAAATCTTTGGCCAATGTTCACAACTAGATTAAACTGACATCCATATTTTATCAATGAAATATACTGTTGACATGCAAAACATTTATTAAAACGTTGCACATTTCTACAATCAATCGATAAGATAACACAAGTGATAGGATTCTTTCCAATGTACAGTAATTCGTATGTTTATTTCAAAACAAACACACATACACAAATGATCCTTTACATAACCGATACGTAACGTACACATATTCAACATTTTGCAGAAAACATCTATTGAGATGACCCCTCCCACGAGCATGTGCTCAGGTGTCAATTTCACCTGTCGATACAGTATATGCTGATGACGTAACACAGGCACTTAATGTTTGTATCAAATAACGTCCCACTACCCCTTATTTTTCTAAGTTTTTGGTATTTTCATCAGTAAAAACACATTTCAGAGCATGTCTCAAAATTTATTCCCTCGGTCTACATTAGGTAGATGTTTCTTGAAGTGATATTTGTTATTTAAGTAAATGTAATACCTCTGAATTTTAAATATAAGTCAAAAAGCATTTTTCTAGCATTTCCGACAGTACTTTAGGCATCATTAATAAAGGGTCAAATGATATGTAGCACATGTAAAGAAAAGTTTCTCAGAAATAACAGAACTAAGAGTGTCATCATAATGTTTAATGTGTGGACAAACGTGACACATCATGACATACAGACAAAAAGTTCAAACAGCACTAGCAAACATCAGTTGTATACACCAACCACCAAATGAAAATAACAAACATGAAGCACTTGGTCATTCAATATGTGCACCCTCCTCGCGCATCCAAGACACAAGTGCACCTTGTTCTCATGCTCCATATCAAGTTCATAAAAAAAGCTTGTGGAATCGCATTCCATTCCTCTACTAGAGCTCTGCGGAGTCCTGGGAGATCCATTGGTGCTGGGTGACGTGTGGACTCATGTCAACCGAGTTCATCCCAGGCATGCTCAATTGGATTGAGGTCTGGCCAATATGCTGGCCGCTCTGCACCCTGCTGGCGTGTGCTGGCAATTAGGTGCCTGACTCTGAGGGTGTGGGTTCGAATTCCGGATGGGACTCAACCCCCAAAATGTACTAGAATCTGTACTTTACTGAGAAAGTGTAATCCCAAATATAACATATGTTACATGGTGATTTTTGTTGAGTTTGTGCGATCCGTTCATGGTGAGGCCGGAAACATTTGGGACACCCCTCATATCTCCAAAGAACATCATTTCACACTGCATTGTTTTCCTCTGTCGAAGAAAGGGAAATTGGTAGGCCCAGTTACAAAGCTGAATCCCCTGGTTTTCCAGAAAGAAGCATTTAACATGTGAGACATGTATCACTGCAGGAGGCATTCCACTCACATCAAACTCTGTGTAATATATACAGTAGGTGAAACGGCCATTGATACCTTTACCAGGCCAATTTGTACAAGTGAATGAGCATAAGAGTGAAAGAGAGTGACAGTGTTACAGCCATACCGGGACCATAAAAGGCTTATGCTTAAGAAACCTGTCTACAAAGGACAGTAAAATACTTCGACAAATCACAGGTTTATAGTTAACACTAATACATGTATATTTGGGGGGGGGGGGATGGGGATCCTCTCCTTTAAATCAGATACCATGTGGTCTCTGTTTAAATAAATTGAGATGTGTATATCTAGTAGTGCCTATGAATAATTCTAAGACTACTTATCAGGGATTTACCTTGTGCCCTGTATTTGAGGGTCCCTGGGACTCATGCTCTCAATTTTCAGGGGTCCTGGACTACAAAATGGGGGTGCCAGACTCTCAAATATCATTATAAATACTATGTTGTAATATTGTTGGAACTCAGTTAATGTTATTGTATTGTGTAACGTGATCATCACATTGTTGCAGTAATTAAATTACAAATAATACCATAACCCAGCTAGTAGCAGTAGTAGTATTGTCACTTGACTGGAAGTTTTACAGAAAGTATTTGGACTTTTTCTGCGTCCCTGTGGACACACTAATAAATTTTGTTGCATCCCCTGTCAATTTTTATGCTTATAGGACGCATGAATTCGCGTCCTGTAAATCCCTGACTTATAAAGGCAGTGCTCTTCATTGTGGAACGGTGTTCTAATTGAGTAACATTGTGTTGAGGGGCAGTGGTGTGCTGGTTACTGTATTTAGACTGGGAATAAAGAAGTCTGGAAGTTTCTACTCAGCAGGATCAACCACCCAGGAGACAGCTCAACTCCTCCTCCCACACTTCCACCAAGGGACAGTTGTACTAAAGATGTGGCCAGGGCCGAGTGAGGGACAGTAATTCTAGTGAGTTTAGGACTTTTCATCAGGATTTCTGAAGATAATGACAGTGTTATGAAATTTCTTGAGGAAGACATATTTGAGTATACTGAGAATTATAGTCGAAATACAGAGAGAATGAGGATCCTTATCAGATTGAATTTTTTTACACAGTACGCATTTCCTCTGAGACATAATTAATGAGGCTCATGCTAAACTATGTGGGATCAGGCAAAAATGTTTTTTTACGATTGTCCATTAACCAATTATAGTTGTGGAAGAGCTGTAGTAGATTAAAAGATGCTGATAGAAGAAAGTTGAATACAAGGTCAGTCCGAGTACAGAGGAAAATATGAAGGCTTATCAGAAAGCACCATGGGAATGGCAATTCAGGGGAGGTAACCACTGAGGATTGGATCATATCCAGGTAAGGATTACTTCCCCTTGATTTCTTTTAAACAATTAATCTAAGGGGGTCTGTAACACATCACCAAGTGAAGAGGAAATGGCTAACACAACCCAGAGGGAATGTTTATGCCTGTAATTGGAAACAAACTATTGTTAGTTTCTGTTTGATCGGGTTTTTTCAAAAGAAACATGGACCTTTTGCCAAGCTGCTCAAATTTATCGATTGAGCAAAGCCATGTATGTACCTTAGATGTACATTACACGAACAACTTACTTGTTGTTGTTATTCAACAGCTGAAAATATGAAATATACTCAAATCCAGGATATATATTTTAAATTACCAGTATGAATTATGTACTGTGATCAGGCTGTTCAAAGCAGCATTTAATACTAAAAGAACATGTCATGAAAAAGTAACTGTTTCTGACTTTCCTGTTCCTCTGCTTGAAGTTGTGAGGTTAAAACATGAATGTTTAGTATTTGACACTTTGGTCCTCGTGAGGTAATAAAGAAAGTAGTACAGATACATACCAAGCTCATTCCCAGTGACTGAATACTGTGGTTTCTCTTGTTAGTGACACTAACGTCTCTGTTGGATGTCAGAATTTCAGACACATTTCCACCTGGAAAAAATTATTCAGAGAAACATTTGAATCCAAATACTTGTTACTTAATAATAAGACATTTTCCAGTTGCTTCTAAACGAGTCTCAAAGAAAATATTTAGTGATGTTTATGTATTTCCCTTTACACAATCATTAGTTTTCCCTGTGTCATGTTCCCATAAAATATCCTGATAAAAGCAGTCTAAGTAAACTTAGGCTCAGTATTATTCATTACACTGCTATACTGAGTCTAACAAAACCTTGTGGAAGGTCACGTCAGGTAACCTTTAAGCAACCTATGACCATCCAATCAAAGGCGAGACGGTCGAACGGATTTAACCAATCAGACAACGGCTACTATTTAGGGTTCGACGGGACTTACAAAATGGATTTTCTCTTCCCCGGTCGCCAACACTGATCTCCCAACAAATGAAAAATCCGCATAAAACACTGATATTTGACCTGCTTTAGGGTTCCTGTTGACATGGTAATAATTAGCTAATATTTCCGCAAGTTGACATGCTTTAATACTGACAAAACGCTATTTTCAGCGAATGTTTACTCACTGCAGTGCATCACTAGGAACTGATCGTACGGAAAATAGCATTCGGAATCGTTCGGGTACAAACTTTTTCGAGGTAAAAGTTCAAAAGGTATGTGCGAATGTCCACTTTCACGATTTGGACAGCTGTGTTCTGATTGGTCAATTGGAAAGGTTACCTGACGCGACCTTCCACAAGGTTTTGTTAGAATCAGTATAGCAGTGTAACGAATAATACTGAGTCTAAGTTTACTTAGACTGTGATAAAAGCAATATATTTTTATATATCCTGTGATAAACCTGTGATTCAGTTTCCAAATATGCAATATCAAGACTCCAGTCATTTTGAAAACAATGAGAAATATAATAACAATAATAAATGATGATGATAATTTTAAATTTTTTAATTGTCCCAAGTACACTCTCTGAGGCCTGCTCCCAGCATTCCGTTCTCATCCTTCGTGTGTGTGTGTCTGTGTGTGTATCTATCCATGTGTGTGTGTCTGTGTGTGTGTCTCCATGTGTCTGTTTCCGTGTGTGCCTGTGTGCATGCGTGCGTGTGCGTGTGTGTGTGTGTGTGTATCCATGCATGTGTGTGTGTATAAGTATGCTCAGCATCATTAATGAAGTGTCAAGCTAATGGTAACACTATTTCTTAAAAGTTGTAAAATCTGTTTTTGTTTGAAATATATACAACTGAATGTTTTACAAACTTTCTTAACAGTGTGGAAAAACACATCACGCCATTGAAATTTTATTATTACGTTCTTGAATGTACCGATACATTCTGTTACAAATGGCACATTTTATATTCAAATTGTCAATATGCCATTGCCACTTAATGTAAGTGATTTGCACATGCAAGTCGCTCTATTCATGGAATGTGGGGGAGAATATTGATTTAATTGATTCAAACATATTTTATTCAGTGAAGAAAGGGATAAGGGACAAGTTATCCAACTTAGGTAACCATCTCCCGAAATACACATACATTGATGCTTTTTCACTGTCATTCACTGTTCAGGTACCTATTTGAAATCGCAGCTAAAAATGAGAGGTTTTTTTACACTTTGTCCACCACTAACACCATGTCACAGGCAGGCGCGTTTGAGATGGAGTAGACATCATGGCCACTGGAATCAACGTCAATGGTCTCGTGTGCTCTTCACAGATGAAAGCAGATTCAATTTTGTCCTTCCATGATGGTCGGCAGAGGATTTATTGTCGCAATGGGGAGCGAATCACAGATGCAACTGTGGCAACACATAACCAATTTGAGAGGGGGGTGGGTCATGGTTTCGACAAGGATAAATCCTACTGGTAGTACTCCACTGCACGTGGTGAATGGTAATCTTACCAGTCAGCGTTATCAGGACAAGATTCTGGCTCCTATAGCAGTACCATTCGTGCAAGCTATGCAAGGCTTTTATGGTCGACCTTCTTTACTGCAAGAAGACAATGCTAGTCCTCATATGACCCATATTCGGGGATCATTCCAAGAGGGTTTGAATGCATCCTATGTATATTCATACAGCCGTTGGGATACATTCCAACTGAAATTCGAGTGCTATTCGCAGCAATTGAACCGGACTCGTATCGCAGTCGAAATTCATTTCAAGCTTTCTTTGTGTATTCTAACGGCATTCTAATTATTCATACAGTATTCCAATTCATTCGAGCTGCATTCGTGATCTAGTACATTTGGAATGAGTAAGAATCATTTGAGCCGGGTTCGAAATCTAAAGGCTCAATCCCCATGATAAATTTTTGGAGATTCTCCATGTTCCTTTGTCTCGAGATGTGATGTCTGTTCATCTTTATCACCAGCGGCCTTTGAGTGAGTGAGTGAGTGAGTGAGTGAGTTAGTTTAGTTTTATGCCACATTCAGCAATATGGCAGTGGTCTGTAAATAATCCAGTGATCAACAGCATGAGCATCAATCTTGTTGACCAATGACATGTGTCAACCAAGCCAGCGAACCTGACCACCCAATCCCATTAATCGCCTCTTACGACAAGCATGGTTTACTCCAGATCACTTGCAACTGCAACTTAGAGCAGTCCTTGCTGACTACATCGGAAAGAAGTCATGAAGGGAAGTGCAGCTCGCCGTACATCAGCCTTACAGATTGCAACAGCCGTAAGGGTAATAGAGATCACATGGACCATGAAGATTACCAGGTCTCAGCAAGAGTTCCATTCATCTCCAATGATGATCAGTCAGCCCTAATGATGGTGTATGACTTTCTACCCTTGCAACCTGATTTAGACCAGAATGCTGGTGGTGATGTCTCCAGCCATACGGACCAGCCTAGCTGCAAGGACCACGCCCAGGCTAACCGCACGGTCCACACCACATACAAGGACCGTAGAGGGTTCTACTAGAACCATTACCACGGACTGTACACCAGCCATGGAGATACCTGCACAGACTGCATAGGTCTTCTGGTATGCTCTGGGGCACATCCGTTACTACCAGATGCACTACATGGACGGTATGGAGAGGTTTTAACAGCTCCAGCCATAAAGGTTTTTTCACACTGTAGACCGACTGGTAGTTAAGCTTAGACCGTATACTGCTACCTCGTCTTACAACATGGAAGATTTTTACAGGGCATTTTACAGGAACCAGAGTTTGATTTCAACAAAACAGGCTACAATTTAGCAGATAAGATGGCTGCTTTAGAAGTCTACTATCCAGATGCCATGCCACAGTTGTCAAATCAGGAGGAATTTGCAGTGGAGATCCAGCATCCGGAGGCTCCATTATTCAAAACTAGACATAAGCGCAAACTACTGCAGTCCTCTTTTCAAGCCAAGATTTTAAAGGACCTGAACAACACCATCAACTCTATGAAGCACCCGGATCATCTAGGCTGTTCGGCACTGTAAAGGAAGGATTCATACGCAATGGACAACAGAGATTTGCAGTTATCATTGCCCTCACTAGACAAAGGAGATTTTGGTGCGTCCATATGAGTCCAGCTGTTTAACGGCAATTGTGAAGAAGTGCTGTACATTCTCAAGTCTGAAGAAGATAGGAACTTTCCAAGAAGAAAAGAGAGTTTTACTCTCGGTGTCCTCTACAAACTTGAGGTTACTGCCAAGAAAGCCCTATCATCAGGGTATAGCAAGTCATCGTATCCCAACTGTATAGATCGATGCTCATGATGCTGCTCACTGGATTGTCTGGTCAAGACTCGATTATTTACAGACCAACGCCATATAGCTGGAAAACTGCTGAGTGTGGCGTTAAACAACAACCAACCAACCAACCAACCGACCGACCAACCAACCATCATGAGCTTGAAACTGAAAGTCAGGAAGGGAACTGCAGCTCGCAGTAACTGAAACTGAAAGCTATGAACTGGAAGATATCCCAACACAATAGAATAACTACAAAATTGGTTTTATCGTCGCTTTTACACCATCCGTTTGAACCCATGAACAGAGCAACAGTATCTCATCTTGCTGAGAAGATTGCATTCCTTGTGGCCCTGGCTACAATGAGTGAGTGAGTTTAGTTTTACGCCGCACTCAGCAATATTCCAGCTATATGGCAGCCTTCTGTAAATAATTGAGTCTGGACCAGACAATCCAGTGATCAACAGCATGAGCATCGATCTGCGCAATTGGGAACTGATGACATGTATCAACCAAGTCGCCTCTTACAACAAGCATAGTCGCCTTTTGTGGCAATCATGGGTCACTGAAGACCTATTCCACCCCGGATCTTTATGGGTCCCCTGGCTACAGCCTCAAGGGTGTCAGAGCGACATGCATGGGATCTCAGATCCATTACATTCCTGAAGAATCCCTCCAGAGTCACAATAAGAGCCTTCCCATACCTGAATTCATGGCCAAGTATCAGAAGTCTGCTTTGGGACCTCTAGGACAATGAGTGTTTACTATCCCTTCTCAAGCTCCTATGTTAGACAGAGGTTTACCAGGCAGATATTTATGCCCCGTAATATTTATGCTAGGAGATTTTCAACCAAAGTGTACCGATTCTGCACAATTTTATTATAAGTAATTCACGCAAAAGTGATATGCTTCATGGTGGAATTAAAAGCATGGGACAAATATCACCACATTATACTTGACCACTTATGATGTTCTAGTCAACATTGTCCTGGCATGGAACAGTTAAGACGAAATGTAAAATTTTACATTCAGTTTAAATCACCTCGAATTATAGCTTCAAACATTCAGATGATCTATAGCACAAAGACTCCCCTCTCACTGTAACCAAGTTCCCTACCAGTGATCCTTAGCCTCATGGATGATGGTGTCCACTTATCAGTGGGTGTTGTCACCACATGTTGCCTGAGAGATATGACCAAGGTTGTTGCAAGTCATACTAATCAGGGATAAAAGTTGATCTTCAGAAGTGATGTCATCATGACATCATCCAAAATGCCGTTAAACAGAAGTGATATCATTAACCAAGAATTACATCACAATGTAAAAAAGCATTAAGTACAGCAGAAAGAGACGTAAATGAGATGACTTCCAACCAATAAATTCTACAGGACATGAAAACTCCAATTCTCAATAGATTGAACATAGAGAATATTCTGGGTTTCAAGCCCTGAAACGTACCATACAATAAAAAGAAGATGAAACCCAACAAATTCTGTATGTTCATCAAATAGCATCTTCTAAAATGCCAATCAAACATCTCAATATATTGTTGACAGTCTCATAATGATTAATATTAATAATAATAATTATTAATATAGGATATTTATATAGCGCACATATCCACACACTAGTGCATGCTCAAGGCGCTGGTATTTTTTCCCTCGATCATTGGATGTCAATCTCAACGGCACATCGCATTATCAATCTCAACTCCTTGGGGAGTATACAACTCTTGCAGCCACTAGGCGCACCGAGTTATTGTGGCTTTCTCATCCTAACGAGGTACCCATTCACAGCTGGGTGGACTGGGACACATAGTCACAGTACTTTGTCCATGTTCACTGCACGTTTCTGTACCCGCAACTAGGTGTTTGCACATATTCATGTGGCCACCATCTGGTCAAATACCAACGGATTCGTGGGTTCTTTTAAGTGCACAGGGTTGTGTACTGTACACTAGGGGTTGTGACAACACTGAAAGAGTCTGCACACAAAGTTGACTCCAAGGTTTTTATACCCGGTCACAGGTGGGCTCGATCCCGACACCTCAACCTCGCTGGATCACTAGCCTGGCGTCTTAGCCAGCTCGCCCACCGCGATTCTTTGTAAACATATTTCTGGTATCACTTTCCTCCTTCTGACAAACATTTCTTGTTCAGTTATTGATTATATAACATCAGCTCTGGTTTTTCTACTAACATGATTTAGGTCAATTCTCTCCTACCTCCTGTGGATGTAGAGATCTTGTAAAAGTGGCAGATGGAGACGATCTTCCAATGGTAAAGAAAAGAGTGCGGAAAAACATTGTTTATTCAGCCAGACTGGAATGATCAGAATGATGACACAATCTTGAGGTAAAGGGATAATCCCGAAAGGAACATCATTCTGCTGTGAAGAAGTGATTGGGCTCCAGTGTAAACAATGTCTTGAGTAGGTGTAATTTCCTAATGAATGATGACAATTCATGAATTGAGATAGGAAAATCTGATTCTGTAGTACTAGCTGGTTTTCATCCTGATTCTGATCTGCCACTAGAACATTATCCAGATGGAGATGGGGCAAAACTGATTGCTGTTACCCTTATCCTAGTCAACAACCACACATCAATGAGAGGCCAAAATGAACCATTCACTACAAAGCTGAGGTATATCTCTGGTGACCAATGTATTGAAGGCATGTTTGCTGAAGATTGAAACGGAATGGCCGTTCTCCTTTTGTCAATCTTAGCCTCCAACAAGATGCTATCTGGAAGCATGGCGGAGACAGCAGGAAGAATTTGTTCAAGACCCTGGAGTCTATGACCATCCTCATTTCAGTTATTCTCATTCCAGAGTCTATTTCTTAATCACACTCTCTAGTTGTTCTTGAACTAGGATGTTGGTACACAGTTAAGTCATCATCATTCAAGTGATCCCAAGCAGAACATCATCTTCCCCAGTTACAAATGCCAATGCAATCTATGGAGGAGGAATGCATCTTCCACAAACTTTCCTCTTCCATGAGGCCACATCATCCTTACCCATGCTGATAGCACATGCAACTTCTTAGATGTTAACCTTGAATCCAAGCCACCAGATGATACATAATTTATAAGAAAAACCTTGGGTGACAAGGAAGAGACATCAGTTGGGAGTCAGAAGCTTTCAGTGACTGCCTTCAACAATAGATGGAGCTGGGATGAACACTTTGTTTAAGGTCATTTCCACTCAAAGGGTATAAAGTGCATAACGTGCGATGTGATAAGTTTAAAATTTGTTATTAATAATTTATTATTCATATATTTTAATAACATATATTCAAACAGCCTTAGCATCTGTGTCCAATTAGCTCTTGACAAACTTCAAATTGTTGATATCCTCTGATGGGTGATTGTGTCCAGTTAGATTGTGAAGAATGTGTCCCAAGAAGAATGCATTTATCATTACAGGTTTTGACTGCATGAGTCCAGGCAGTTCAAGTATTTCTTTCATGATTCCAGTTGGAAATTTAGCCCTAAGCAAGTACTTGTTGAGATCTTTGCTGCAGTGATGTGACATATTCTACTTTCCTTAACCAAGCCACTTCCTTTTTATATATTGTTTGCTTGAATTGATGAAATGAAAGAACTTGTAGGCTGTAACAAGATATTCTGAGCTCCGACACAGGAAGAAGATCCAAAAGATTCATTTGCAATTTGAAACAGTTTGTTCACTGGTGACAAGTTTGTGTATAAAAACATAAGCTGTGACCACAGTGAACAAACTGTCAATTACAAGTGACCCTATCTGCTTATAAATTGTGATCATTGTCCATCTCATTTGAGGATTGTTGTTAGGACTTTTCTGTAGGTATTGTTCTTATTAATCCACCATGGTTTGTTCCCACTTTGCCAGTCGACTGAATGTTGTTTAAGTCATGGATTACTAGTGAGATCAGTCTGAACTGAACACAACTCACTGGTGAACTCTGAAGCAGCATGGAATACCGGTCAGCATATTCCATCTGGAATACTGCTCCTGCTTGCAGCAAGTTCTCAAGGTGGCGTTACTATTGCCTACAGTCACTTTTGCCTACTGTCTTAAATAAACAATTTTACACACCAGTGGTTTTAGGTGTAACTACCCTCATCATGAGAAATAAATGGCCATGGACAATTTACATTTTGGACTTTTGCCTACAGTGTTCAGAAACTGTATAATTTAAGAAATAAGAAACAGGAGTGAGCGTTCGTTTGTATTACTCAAAGAATGCACTTCAAAAGTCCACTTCGAAAGTTTGACCAGGTGACTAGCTGCTGTCAAATATTCTAGGTGAGTCCTAATGGATGCAGCTTGTTTTAATCTGGTCAGTCTCTGATCAATCTCAGTGTATGTCCTATTCTACTGAATAATTTCTGGCTGCATCTATGATCCCATTGCCTGTTGAACCTTGTCTTTGAGTAGTCGTAGAACACGTTCATACATCCGGCACTGATGATTTGGAAGAAGACAGAAGGCTAATATCATCATCTTTCCAACAAGTCCATGGATGACATACAGCTGATCCCAGAGTGGGGAACAGGAGTAGAAAGTACCATCCATGTACAGGGTGTCCAGCTCCTGTAGCAGGCATTAGACAGTCACTGGTGGCAAAGCAGAGGATCTTGTCATCCTGGCCATCATCAATGCAGAGGAAGGGCTGCCCGTCCGTCATCTCCTTGTAGCAGTCTGGAAGATCAACCTTGCTCAGTGTCTGGGGAAGTGGCAGCAGCGTCTTCCTCCTCTGTTTGTACAGGCTGCTCTTCATGGAGTGAAACGACTTCATCGTGGCTGCATCTTCTCGTCCCATAATTTGTACCACATTACTTCATAGCAAATATTTTAAAGTAATTTCTTTCCTTCTCATTAATATATTTTCCTTCTCACAATTCACTATTGCCAACAAACTTGAGTATTGATAATAAGACGTCTTGTTAATATCGTCTCAGTTAATAGTAATGAAAACTTAAACATAGATACTGTTATGATAACAAATTAATTAAGTTTAACATACATATCACAATTGGCTTTTACTCTTCTCAGATTTGTTGTGAAAACACTGATCATCTAATGACACTGTAGGCGATGGTGTACAGTGAGTGGACCAGTCTACTTATGTGCAGGTAAGCGTGACTGAGCCCCTTCCAAAAGTGTTGGCATAAGTCCACTATGAGCACTGTTCGCAAAAGTCACTGTAGGCAATAGTAGACCTAACTATTCTCAAGGCCCCTAGTCTGGTGGCAAAATGGCAATACTCCCTTCTTTTTATCGGCTGTCTGCCCCCTGCTTGGTACTAGATGTTCAATGTCTCATTGGTGTGTTGTTCTTTCAGGAGGAAGAAACTGGAATGTACTAGGATGGGCCTTGGAAATTATCTTTCCTTGGCAGAGGTGCTTAGTCCTTGGTCCTGATTTGCTAATACCATGTAAGGTTATAATAGCTATACTGTACCATCTGCACAATGATCTCATGAGTCTCATGCAAGTTTTATGTTAGATGCAGTGTTTGTTCATGTGGAAAACATAATTTCTGACAAAACTTCAGAGGTTATTGATACTAAGTAATATTTACTTACCTGCATGTTTTCCAGAAGTTGATTTTTCATTAATCACAACTTGCAAAGTTATGCCTTCATCTCCTGATCCATCCTCCCCTTGCATTTTCAAAGAACCTCTGAAATGAAATGCAAACAGGTGTAAAAAAGAATAATTGTTGACCCAACAAATCAAATTTCTTTATACATGTATGTTCTTATGACTGACAAATCACTCTTTTCTTGGTACCACATGCATGATTTTGACTCATAGTATGAACAGTCTACTGGGTAACTAATTTTTATCATAGTATCATGGCCCAAGGTCACTTACAAAATTAGCTTGGGTCAAAAAGATGGTGTCTGCACAGGACGTCGTCCCTTGGGTGAAATGTCACGGTTGAGTTACGAAAAAAGGTCGACGTCCTGTCCATTTGACACCAATTAACAGGGGATTAAAGAAAAACAATCCAGTGTTTTCACAAGGGATAATCCAGATTATGCGGTTGAGAGCACAGGCAACAGGAAAAAAGTATATACTGAGTCAAAAAAGAAACTTCACAAAATGTAATTTGAAAAATAATGAATAATTTTTCTCTGATGATACATCTATGTATCCGAAATGGGATCCTCTATCTTTCGACTCTAGAAAAACGTTAGCAAAACCCACTCAAACCCATCCATTCGTCGTGCAAATGACGTTAGTTCCAAATCAGGTTTTGCACGTGCAGTCGATCACGTGATCTTCGCATCGAAGTTTTCTTCATATGCACGTGTTTGCATTGGCCTCAAGAATTGAAAAAAACACTTTTAAACAACAGTTCTAACGGTACTTGAAATGCCACGATTGTCAAATGTGCAACGTGAACGTGCCGTTGGCATGTTGCAAGCGGGAAGATCAGTTATTGACGTCGCAAGAGCAATGGGATGCAGCCGTCGTACTGTGTTTGACTTGCGAGGTCGTCTACAACAAACTGGCACCACTTCTGATCGCTCAAGGTCGGGTCGTCCACGTGTGACATCACAAGCAGAAGACCGTCAAATCGTCCTACGTCACCTACGTGACAGATTTCTGCCGGCTACACGAACCAGGGCTGAGATGTTTAGAGGTTGACTGCCCTCACAGACCATTCTCGACGTCCATATCGTGGGCCAATATTGACGCCGTTTCATCAACGTCAACGTCTGCTGTGGGCCCAACGTCACCTCCGATGGACCCAGAGAGACTGGAATCGAGTCGTCTTTAGCAATGAATCCAGGTTTACCCTCAGATTCGCGGACGGCAGGCATAGAGACTGGAGACGACGTCGTTGTGTTGTGTACAGAAAGTCGACAGATTCGGGGGCGGAAGTTGCATGGTGTGGGGTGCTTTCTGTGGGAACAACCGTTCCCGACTTCTGGTCATCCGTGGAAACCTCACAGCTGCTGCTTACCGCGACCAGGTGCACACCCCTGAACTCGTTCCTTTCATGGCGGCTCATGGCCCAGGTCTACAGTTCCAGCATGATAATGCTCAGCCGCATACCGCGATGTTGACTAGAATCTCCTTCAAAACGCTGGAATCAACGTCATGGACTGGCCATCGAGGTCCCCTGACCTTAATCAAATAGAGCACCTTTGGGATGCACTTGGGAGAAGGCTTCGTGGTCTTAGGAACCAACCTCAGAATTTGCAGGAACTTGGTGCTGCCTTGCAAGAGCAATGGCGCAGAATCCCCAACCACGTGTTCACAAGCATCAGGCAGTCGATGAGGAGACGGTGTTTGGCAGTGGTGAATGCGCGGGTCGGCCATACACGATATTGAACTGAGAAATTTCGCATTTTTATTCTTGTGACTTGGCATTCTGTATACCCATGTTTTGGAACTGATTATGGCACTGTCAGTGTATCGAGTACATCACACAGATCTCAGCAATGAAATAATAACAATTTAACCATCTTAACATCTCTTGTTCTTTTATAGTGCCCTGAAGAAAGAATGTGAAGTTTCTTTTTTGACTCAGTATATTCTTTTCATATACAAAATCATCTAACATGAAGTAGGTAAGATACAGCATCTGCAAACTCTCTGGTGCTGATTTGTCCACTCCTAAGATCATGTCTTTCTATGTCCGGGCGATGTCCAAGTCCCTGTATTTCTTTTTCTTCAACTAACATTTTGTCCATCGGCGGACTTCAGTGTGAGTCTGCTCCTTAGCAAGAAATATGATTATTTAAAAAATATTGGGGTGGGCCTTTCCCACCAATCTCTTCAGACAAGAATGCCACCCTCCCAGAGGGTTGTTGGTGCAGGGGCTATCAGAATCGTGGTGGTTCCACTGGGATCTATAGATGTCACAATGTCATTGACAGTTAACACAGTGAGTGGAGGTACAGATCTTTTCTGTGCACTTCCAATCTTGCTTTCACTTATGCACTCGGTACATAAATCCATTAACACACAGGTATCTTCCACTATGAGATGTAGGAAGAAATCACCAATTTAACTGTGCATTTGCCATTTTGAAACTGAATGCGAGGGTTCTTTCCTAATATATATCTAAATTGAATGAAATATGTCCATCATTGTAAAATTCACTCTCAAATGATGACATTTTGAGTGAACCATGTGAGTAAACTAAACTCACAGGCAAAAGAAAGTATAGATCATTTTGAAGATCAGTAAAACAGAAACAACACAAGATTTGGATTATGTAGATGTAATTTGTAGCAAATTCATTTGCACTTTGCTGTGTGTACAAATCATTACCTGGTTGAAAGAACTGAAAGGTGACATTGACATTCAAACAGTCAGGGGGTAAATACCAAAGTTACAATGATATTCCTTTGACGAATTGCGCACACAAAAGACAGAAAAGTTTGTTCCAGAACGATCACAGCGTCAGTAGCCTGTGTGTCCGCCAGTAGCCTTGATGCACTCTCGTGCATGTCGTCGCATCGATGACGTGAAGCATCGGATGACGTCATTTGGCAGTCGCTGCCATTCGTCCCTCAGTGCCACTTCCAACTCTTGTCTTGTCTGTGGAGGGTGATGACGACCACAAATTTGTCTTCCCAAATGATCCCACAAATGCTCGATCGGATTCATATCTGGTGATCGAGAAGGCCAGGGTAGAACATTAACGTTATTCTGATTAAGAAAGTTTCTCGTCGCTATTGCTGTATGGGGAGTTGCTGGTTGATTGTTCAAGAAAGGTAAGACAACAGGCTGCAAGACTTGATTTCGGTACTCGTTTGCATTGAGATTCCCCTGAATAACGACCAAGGGTGTCGTTTGGTCGCCAATAATGCCACCCCATACCATCACACCACCTCCACCATAGGCATGGACTTCTTGAATGCATGCTGCTGCAAAACGTTCACGCCATTGCCTGTAGACTCTCTGTCAGCCATCATTTTTGTGCAGACAAAACGGACTTTCATCGGTGAAGAGGACCCTACGCCAGTCACGCACTTGCCAGCGGTATACTCGTCTTGACCATTGCAGTCTTTCAAGTCGATGTTGTTGTGTTAGTCTCATTCCACGGAATGGTCGATAGCAACGTATTCCACCTGCTCTCAAACGTCTGAGGACAGTCCTTCGACTGATGCGACATCCCAACACTGTTTCGGCCGTTGACGTTGCCATAACAAATCAATTTCGGAGGTGTATCAGGCGTATATGATGATCTTCACATGCGCTGGTTACACGTGGACGTCCACTCCTCGGCCTGTCCTGTGTTTGACCTGTCTGTCTGAATCGTTGGAGGAGTCTTGCTATCGTCAGTGGCATACAACCAAATCTTCTTGCAATTCTGATGTTCGTCGCTCCCATATTGGACATCCCAGACTTTTCATGTGTTTTCAGCAGCTGTGATATGACGGGACCGATGCATTGCATTTATACTGAAACTTTGCACGTGCATTATGTGCTAGGGGCATGGAACATGCTTTCCACATTTGTGACGTCATCACTCTCACCGTTCGAACGTGTTGCGTTTTGGCGGTGTATTTCCCTTCCCAGTAGTGGGTCCAACATTGCCAGCATGTCTAATTCTCCTAACCATGTCAATGACAGTGAAAAAATAATTTTTTCAGTCCTATACTTTCTTTGGCCCATGAGTTTATGTTCACACCTTACGGATGCTGGCCTTATCGAAAATCTTAAAACAACACCTACTAGTGGATTAGCATGACTCTAGCAACACCCTCAACATCAAAGTTTACCGCGGGTCGATTTCGAGTCCATAGTGAAATTTCAAAAGATTGACTTCTTGTTCATGAACCAAAAAGATTTGGTTCAAATATATTTTATTCGTGATCGAAAAGGATTGGCAAACAAGCCTTAACAGTTTATATTAATGCTGCGCCATAATACATACATACATTAACATATACTCATTCAAAGAAATATTTACTTTTTGATAATTTAAGAACTCCTATTGAAATCAAAGCACAGCTAATGTTATACGATACTTTAGCTTTTATTCCGTGAATATGACAGTTCTTTTAGAACACCATACGATGTATAGCACAACAAAATCAACCGAATGACGAAGGGTCAGTTTGCAATGTCACAGAGTCAATTTCAGATCAGTAGTGCGTGTGTTCACCTCTGTTTCTGATGCACTCTGCACATCCAGACCTCACTAATGTCCTCAGTGATGGCTGTGGTATTGCTTGCCACTCCTGGTCCAGAAATCTGAACAGTTGGTCAGCGTTCACTGGCGGAGGATGAATCTGATAGATACGCCTACCAAGGATGTCCAAGACAGGTTCTATGGGAGCATGGTCTGGAGAATATGCTGGCCACTGCATCCTCACAACACCTCTTTGAGTAAGGAAGTCTGTAACCACACGTGCCTGATGTGGCCTGGCGTTGTCGTCCTGGAACACCGATGCGGTCCAATGGCATTAAGTGACGGAATGACAAGTGGACCAACAATCTCATCTCTGTGCCGTAAACCAGTTGCCACGAATACGGTACAGAGGAGTCCTGTGGTGAAGACTGAAGGCACCCCACTCCATGACAGAACCTCCACCAAACCGGTCACGTTCACTAACATTCACATCGTGAAAGCAGAGACCATATAATAGATCTATTATATGGTCTCTGGTGAAAGCGTTCTCCTCGCCTTCAGAACACCCATGCACGACCATC